TCTAGTGTTCTTGCTGTCGTAAATGTGTGTGTGTGTGTGTGTGTGTGTGTGTGTGTGTGTGTGTGTGTGTGTTTTCCTCCAGAAGTCCTGTCACAGTAGAGTATCTGACATGTTCGTTTAGGTGCTGGACTCATAATGAGAGGATCTGTTGTAGTTTCTGCAAAGCTTTATTAAAGTGAAGTGTGCTGAAAATTGGAGAATGTTCAAAACGGTTAATGGTACATTTTACTGTATCTTTCGATTGACTTTAAAACACTCAGAATGAGAAATGAGTTTAGTAAAATAAAAAAACATGTTTCCAAATTAAAGTTGGTTGATCAGCTTACTTTATTACAAATTATATCATGATTATACCACAAGATATTAATTAGAGCTTTGATTTTCTCAGTCTTTTTGCATGAAAGTCCATAGATTTATATGATGTAGATGTTACAATGGAGACCACCTCTCTTTCATTGTATTCCTTCATTCATTGGGACTGAAGCATGTGTTGTATCTGCAGTCTGCCGTGGGACACGAGTATCAGAGCAAGCTGTCCAAACACTGCTCCCAGACGGACACCTCCAAGGGTTTCGGAGGTAAATTCGGCGTGGAAGCTGACCGTGTTGACCAGGTAAATCCTCAGATCTTCAGTGGACAGGTGAGTGTATCTGTGGGCAGATTCACACTCAGTGATGTGCTGTTTTCCTGCAGTCTGCCGTGGGCTTCGAGTATGCCGGGAAAACCGAAAAACACGCCTCGCAGAAAGGTGTCTCTCTCTCTCTGTCTTTAAGATTCACTGTTCCAGTGTTGATTGTGCTGCAGTAAGAGTTGTGTTGTTTCAGACTACACCACGGGCTTCGGGGGCCGCTACGGCGTGCAGAAGGATCGCGTGGACCAGAGCGCTGTCGGCTTTGATTATCAGGGGAAAACAGAAAAGCACGAGTCACAGAAAGGTGTGTTCCTGCTTCCCTGGCCATCTCTGGACGTATGGTTGTGTTCTTAAAGCTTTCTGCCTCTTAAATCTACAGATTACGCCAAAGGCTTTGGTGGCAGATTTGGAGTGGAGACGGATAAAGTGGACAAGAGCGCCGTGGGCTTCGAGTACCAGGGAAAGACTGAGAAACACGAGTCTCAGAAAGGTTTGTGTCACATACCGTTTCACCTGAGTTTAACAATGCAGATTTATGAAAGATTTTAGTGTTATTTTCCTTTAAGTTGGGGATAATACTGCTAATAAAGCAATAAGCCCCAAGAAGCCGTGGTTTACAGTGAATTTATAACAGCTAAGCTCAGCCAATCAGAATCAAGCGCCAGAACTATCTGTTTTGTAATAGTAGTTCTGTTTTAGACTCATAGTTATCTGGTTTGTGTAAGACTATGTAAGGGGCTTCGGAGGGAAGTTTGGCGTTCAGACGGACCGTCAGGATAAGTCTGCGGTGGGATGGGATCATCAGGAGAAACTGCAGCTGCACGAGTCACAGAAAGGTAAAAGACACCACACACTGTCTGAGATCTGTTTGTGCAGCGAGACGAAACCAGCTGAACAATCTGCAGTACTTAAGCTGTTTTGATGAAGTGTTATAACAAGGTCTGGATGTTATTCTGATGGTATGGTGCTGTTCGGACATTTTTGACCAATAATTTTTTTTATTTTGTTTTTATTTTGTACTTCATCAGAATGGTACGAAAGGTTTTTGCACTTGCTATGTAAAAAAAAAAAAAAAAAAAAAAAAAATGACAAAAATTTAATAAAAAGGTTAAATGGTCCTGAAAAAAATAAGTCACACTTGTATTGTTTGCAGCTAAAAACGACTGCATTGGAAATGAATGTGAAGTGAATTTCATCTAGTGGAAACGTTTGGTACTGCACCCAAACCAAATCTTACTTCGAGATCTCAACCTCAAAATCAGAACACAGCTTGTTTAGATTTATGGCTTTGAGTATAACATTTTTTGGAAAATATATATTTCACACCTTTTTTCTTAGTTTAATTTTTAAAACTTTTTTTCAGCAATAATCTGCCAAGAGTCGTCTTTAAAAAGAGACCAAACTTAATTCTGTGCTCCAAAGCATTCACAGCATTTCCGCGGGTCCTTAAAAAGTCTTAAATTTAGTTTTATCAAATTTAATTCCATAAACAGTCTTAAATTGTACTTGAAAGTCTTAATTATGTTTTCAGAGGTCTTAAATTTGTGGACGGAAAGACCAGAATTGCGACACGGCTTAATGTGACGATTAAACGTCAAAAGGTTATGATTTAATTGATTAAATATGAGCTGCGTATTTCAGAGTCAGGTGCTGCTGCTTTGTTTACTGCTGTTACCGGGGAAACGGTTATATTTCTGCTGTTCCGACAGCGCCTCCTGCTGGCAGAGAATCAGTGTGCATTTTCAATAATCCCTTCTGCTGAAAATCAACCCATATTTTTACACAGCAAACACGCAGTTGTGTCAACCGGTGGATCGACGTTACCACAAACATTGGCCTACCACTTTTATTTCTGCAGGTCTTAGAAAGGTCTTAAAAAGTCTTCAATTTGATTTAAAAAATCCTGCATTCAAGATTTACAGCAGTTCAGTCTGGAAATTTCATTTTCAAATCTATGCTCAGAAAGTGGTTAGCAGGTAATAAATGGATCACAACTATTCCATAAATATAATTTCATGCCATAAAATCCCCTAAAAATACAAAATATGAAGTAAAAAACATTATCAACTAAAACATAGTACATTAATTTCATTGAAATGAAAACAAAATTCGGTCATTTTTGACTGCCACACGAACAACACGAGGGGTAATTAATGTTTTCACAAAATTAGTATTATAGGGAATAGAATTATTACACTCTCTAAACCTCCTGAAATCATGCCTGCAAAACTCTACAATAACAAAATAACCTCTACGGTAAGTTCAGATCACGTACTACCTGATATCTGGGAATATTTGCTATTGTATTTCTTTGAAAAATACAAGACCTGTACACATTTTGCATTGTAGAGTACGCTTGTACAACTCACAACTCTACACAAAAACAAGAAACGTCAGCTTCTAGCCCGGCGAAAATCAAAAGAAGAAGCATGTAGCCAATCACAGCGCTCTGTTCATTCCCTTAGATATCAGTGCATAATACATAAAGTCTGTGAGGACTCATGAAATGAGATCCATTCCTTTTGAGCTGTTGATTTAAAAACAAAAACTGTAGCCAGAACATTCCTTCCTCTGCCATTCTGCGATCGATCTTTCAGTAGACGCTGCATTGTTGTTCCCACGAGTCCTCTACAAGTAAATGATGACCGTTCTAAACCTGTATTACTCCGTTTCTTCTGTGGGAAGAAGAAAAAGATATTTGAAAGATCTTCAAACTGTTTTAGTGATCGACTAATCATGTTTTTATGTTCCACAGAAGGTTTGAACCACTTGGGTGAAATATTGCTTTGACATGCACTCGACATGAATGTGCAAGAAATCCACATTTGAACTGTTTATTTTCCTCCGTTGTTATAGATTATGCCAAAGGATTCGGAGGGAAGTATGGTGTGCAGAAAGACCGAATGGACAAGGTGAATTGATCAAATCATTACAGTTAACACATAGATGAGACATTTGTGTTTGGTGTTATTGTTTTTACATGCGGTCAGAACGAGAATGACGGTTGTGAAAAATGTGTGTGCATTGCTGTTGTCATTGCTCTCGTCTTCAGAGCGCCGGCAGGTTTGAGGAGGTGGAGAAGCCGAGCGCGGCGTATCAGAAGACCCGTCCTGTGGAAGCAGGTCAGGAGAAAAACACACGTTATAATGAATCAATCACGGTTTGTAGCGCTCGACTGAAGACGTGCTGCGCTCTTTTCAGCTGGCAGTGGAGCTGGAAGTATTAAAGCTCGCTTTGAGAACATTGCGAAGCAGAAGGAGGAGGAGGACCGGAGGAGAGCCGAAGAGGAGCGCGCTAGACGACAGGCCAAGGAGAAGCAGGAGCAGGAGGAGGCGCGCAGAAAACAAGATCTGCTCGTGAGTGTCTGTTTGCTAGTAAACTATATGATGTGACTCTTACTTCACACTCTTATATAAGAGCTGAATTTGGCCTGAGATAAATAGCATTTCTTCTCTGAACTCTGTCCCGTGCCACCAAATTACAGAGATAAGAAATTGTGCATGAAACACATGGAGTCTCCTGAATACTGAATACTGTAGTAATTTGTCGTAATTGTACCTGTATCGTACTCTAGCTGTTTTAATGTGTAGTCTAGTAAAGCAATAAGCCCCGAGAAGCCGTGGTTTACAGTGAATTTATAACAGCTAAGGGGCGTTGTTCGCGGAGTGCCTAAAACCTTCTTAGCTGTTGTAAATTCACTATAAACCACGGCTTCACGGGGCTTATTGCTTTTATAAAACGGTTTTACATAGTAAGGTTTCACAAAATAAAACAGAGCAAATAAAGTGTAATGATATTAATAAAAACAGTATTCTTCCACCAAACAATGTAGCTCCTCAGAAACAGTTGTGGTTGCTACAAAGTGGTTGCCGAGCAACAGACAAACGTAAACAAAGGTGTATGTTACTTTGTAGAGTAATTTACAACAGCTTCAAACGCGGCTCAGCCAATCAGAATCAAGCACCGGAACTATCTGTTTTATAATTTTAAATGAATCACAGATGGTTGTCATTCACTGCGGTGCATCAACAGACATTTAGAGATTTTACATTAATAGGCATAACGATTTTTTTAACATTTAATTTTTAATAGTATTTACTGTGGAGGCAGAAACCTTAATGATGTAGTTAGTCATATAATGAGACGGTCTCATTCTAGTGTTTAATGCTGAGCAGTCTAGACTACAAGTCTGAGAAGGACTGCACCGGTTCGAGAAGCTCCCATTATTCTTGTGGAGCGTTGATTTAAAGATCTGCTGTTCACTGATCTCGTCTTCTGATAGAAGTCGTGTCTTTGGATTTCAAATCTTACAAAGGGATTCAGAAATTCATCTTAAATAGATTGATCTTAATTATGAGGGCGGGTTTTTTGTGTGTTGATATTAATGATTAACAATAGATAAGCTGTTCCGAATGCTTTAATACTGATCGTTAATCATTAACATCCCTACACAGTACTTGCTGACTAGTTTCATTATTGATACGTTGCTCAAAAACCTGCTTGCTGAATCCATTTACATTTTTTTAAATAGTTTTTAATAGTGTTTTTTTTAAACAGACTTTATAGATTTTATGTATTTTTTTTTAGCACTTAAACTAAATGAGAATGAGAAATGTTGCCTTGGTAACTAGCTGAGTTAAGTGTTTTTTTTTTTATATATATTTTACTTAGTTTCAGTTAATGTTTCTTTTATTTCAAGTAATATTGTTTTTAAGTGTTTTTATGTGGTTTTAGTTGACAATTATTGTCTGCTGGTCACAAAAGCACACAATTTGTAAAGGCCATGAAATGTGGCCATATAGTAGCATCTCGTCTCATTTAAAATGAAATGAAATGAAAATTAGAAATATGAGATCATGTCTGATGCGCTTCTGAGAGTCTGTGCTGTGTCCGTCAGGTGGAGCCCGTCACTGAGGCGGTGGAGAACGGTGCAAACCTCTACGAGGTGGAGCCGGTCTCAGAAGAACCCACATATGAAGAACCGGTCCAGGAAGAGCTGTACCAGAACCCTGAGCCGGACGAGCAGAACCAGACCTCAGGTGCGCTCACACCTCCTGACACCCTCACGTTAAAGCTACACAACCTAACTTCTGTTTGTTTTAAATCATGAGCAAGTACAACATAAAAATGTATAAATCCATTTTACAAACAGTGTTTGTCCATCCCTGATTGACTCTGGGAAGCCTATAAAGCTGATTTATATTTTACAGATTTCACTGGAAATGGCGTATTTCTGTCATTCATCTGTGTTTATGCACATCAGATGCATAAATAAAGGCAGCTATAATAGTTTCCATTTTACTGCCTAAAATGTACTATTATTACAAACGTAATAATTCAAAACAATTATTATTTCTTTAGTTATTTATTTATTTTTTTTCCCTGGCTGTTTGATGTTAGTGACGTTTGCAATAATGAGATGATGAGCTGTACATCGATACACCTCAGATGATCAGATTAGTGCAGAATTAGTGCACAGCCGCTGGTGTAGCTTTCAGCGTAAGCTCCTGTTCTGGACTGGTTTGGGCAGATGTGTGTTGTCTCAGTGCTTCAGTGACGTCTGTGTCTGTGTGTGTGTGTGTGTGTGTGTGTTATGTGTCTGTGTGCGTGTGTTATGTGTGTCTGTGTGTGTGTGTGTGTTATGTGTTATGTGTGTGTGTGTGTCTGTGTGTTATGCGTTATGTGTGCGTGTGTTTCAGGTGCTCAGTCGTACGAGTTTGGGGAGGATCTTGGCGTGACTGCCGTGGCTCTGTACGACTATCAGGCTGGTGAGTGAACAATCTGATGAGTTTGACTTCACAAACTGTGGCTTAGAAGATCATAGTATTGCACTAAACATTTTACAGTGTTTACACTGTATGTGAGCGGCATGACACCAAAAAATAGATCACTCCTGTTATGCCAAAATAAAAATAAAAAAACATCAAGTAAATGGGTATGGACCATTTAGACTATATCCAAGAAATATTAGATACATGTCTGAATCTGCTATAAAAAATTTGATTTTTTTTTTGTACTTTTGAAGCTCGTGTTTGCCAAGGGATAAAAACATAAACAGGTAATTGTGGTTTTTGATCTCACGAATCTGACATCTTTTCTTGAAGTTCTGAGAGAAAAGGTCATAATTGCCAGATTTACACTCACAATTGCAAGATAAAAAGTGAAATGAAAAGTTTAATTTTTTTATTCAGTGGCGTAAACAAAACAAAAAAAGTACGTATTGTGAAGTTTATAACTTGCAATTCTAAGAAGAAAAAGTGAATCCCACAATTTAGGGAAAAAAAGGCAGAATTGTGAGATGAAAAGTAATTGACTTTTTTATTATTCCGTGGCTGAAACAGAAGAGAGTCATGTAGCGTGCCTCTGTTTCTCTCCAGCGGGAGACGACGAGATCTCCTTCGATCCGGATGACGTCATCACCAACATCGAGATGATCGACGAGGGCTGGTGGAGGGGCGTGTGTCGGGGCACATACGGACTCTTCCCAGCCAACTACGTTGAAGTCCGACAGTAGACTCGCTCCATGCGCTCTTTACACGGCGGACGTCGCTGAAGGAGAGCCATGCTTCCAGTCCATTATCAGCCCTGCTTTCTCTTCTTTCACTGTAGCATGTCGAGCGTTCGCCGGTCATTCTGCTTCCTTCAGCTCAACTCTCACTTCCTGTTTCACGTCAGCAGGTGTGTGCGCTTTACTGGATCCAAGAGATTTTATGACACATCTGAGAGTTTATTCACTCACACACACACACACATATATACATCAGTATGTGAAATAAGAGATCGTAGACCAGAGATCTGAGATCTTCTGGCATGTTTTAGAGAAATAATGTCACACAGACGGCTTCTTTGACTCCTAAAGCTGCGTCCGTACGAACACTTTTAGCTCATTTCCGTGTCTTTTTGCAGTGTTGGAATAGGGATTAACTGCGTTAAGTTTGAAAATATGAATGATCATAATCAATGAAGGCCAAAATATAATGCCATAATCCGTCACTGCTAGAATTCTGCATCACATCAGTACAGGATGAACAGACATTCCATCGCAGTGTTTGAAATCATTCATAAAAATCACTTTGGTGGTATTTGAAGGGTTGTGTATTAAAATCAGATGTTAATGCGTTATGTGGCGTGAACTGTATGTCTGTCTGATTTGCATCGTCTCTGTGCTCTGTGTTCTGATTCATCTGGACTCGCTCTCGATGTGGCAGATTGATCTTTCTGTGAGTGCATGACATTTCTGTCTGTGACGCTGAATTATATCGAATGATCTGGTGTCAAATGACAATCCACACAGGTGCAGAGGAGTTAATACTGTTTAATGGCTTGGCAGCAACTAATGACATAATCTGTGTTTTGTTAAGTATTTTAGTTAAGTAACCTTTTCAAACAAATTATGTGCTTATCTATACTGGCTCTCTTTACAAGTCTGTTTTATAAGAAATATCATTTAAGAATAAAAAAAATAAAACTAGTATTCTTAGTATTTTTCACAATCCCTCCGTGTTTGAAACTTTATTTCTCTTACAGTAGTTTTCATCAAGTGCATGTGTTTGTGAGACGCATTGATGCACCGGAACAGAGCTCAACTGGAGCGATGTTTATTTCTTTCAGATTTGTTTGCCATACAAGGTGTAACTGCACTCAAACTCGCAAATCCTACTGTTTTCTTGGTCATTGCAATGAGTTAGTAATTCCATTTTAGAAGATCTTACAGCGACATTAACACCGTGAACACAAGTCTTCAATCAAAGTAAAGCAAAATAGGTTGAAGTCAAAGGAAAAAATCATAGCTAAACAATAAGGGATTGACAAATCTATAGATAAACCAGCAGTTTTATCAGGTGAACATTGTGCTTGTTTAATGATGTGATGGGAACATTACCTAAATATACACAAAATGTATTATCCATAGTATAAATATATTGCTCTTTTGGGTTTGCTATATTAAGAATCTATACCCATTTTATTTAAACATTTTACTTTTTTGGCAAACCACACTTAAGTGGGAACAATACCATTGAAACTGCATTTAGAAAAGGCAATATAATAATATAAAATGAAAATACTCTCTTATTCTATTGTATGCTATCAGAAGACGATCTATTTTATAAAATGTCTATTTTCACAGTAGCAGCAGTGTATTGGTAAACCTTCGTTCAGGAAAGGCTTGCTATTTTTAATTTCTGGCCCACATTTCAAAAATATTGTTCTATATTGACTCGTACTCAGAATCTCAGCAGCAGGTGATGGCAAACATATCGTTTCTCGTTTCAGAGACATTATCACTATCAATACTGCAGTGAGTGGCACATACAAAAATCTAAATAAAAATGTAAAAAGTCATCATTGCCTCAATTTTTCCAGTGTATGTTGGCTAAGAAACATGGTTCCAAGTTGCAGAATAACAAAAGCTGCTTAATATAGCCTCTGTTAAAGAAAGAAAACCCACTTGACTCACGGAATCTCTCCAAAACCACAACTCGCATTAAAATAGTGAATTTCCATTTCATTCCAAGCTATTTTTAAATGTGTAATTGATCTTATTGTGAGCTATTCATCTATGCATACATTTCATTTTTCATAGTAGTTTTGATGTCACAACTGGATCTTCAGCTGAAATATCAGACTCCAATCATTCAGTCCGTTTGAACTCCACCACTTTCTTAGGCCTGGGACACACTAGATGATTTTCAGTTCTTAACCGATTTTAAAACTATGGGAGACCACAGACATGAAGACAGTTTTAACCGTGACTCGAGAAGAAAAACACATAGAGGACAATCGACGTCAGCTGGCGCGCATTCGGTTGTACAGTGAAAAACAAAATAGAAAAAAAAGAATATGGGTAATGTTCTTTCTCAGTACTCTACATTCGTGGCATGTTTGTGGCTGCCAAGTTTCAGCTATAGGCGCATGCAACATCTGCAAATCGGCCTTAAAATCCTCAAGTGTGTGACCAGCCTTACAGTCCTCGGAAACCTCATAGTCATCAGATCCACCTTCATCCAATCAATATCACAATCCACAACCAAGTCACAATATTAAAAAAAAGCTCTGTCGCTACCATAATGCGAGGCTATTATAGATGTTATTTGATCCATGGCAGCTGATAAGCACAATAATAATTACCCCTGATTTATGAGCTACGCCACAAGCTCTCATTAAGATCGATCTTCCTTTCAAGCCTTAGTTATTTGTTTTTTAAATTCTCTATAGCTTGCGCAATCTGCAGCAAGAACACAAAAAACATATGCTTTCCCTAACATTTCCCTATACAAAAAGGATATGTATTTTTTAGCATTTAATTTTTGCCGACAGGATCAGACAAATCTGTACATGTCCCCGTCCTCATTCAATCTCATGAAAATCAAGAAGCATCAAGGATGAAGAGCGGCTTCACTAGCGCCACCATCCCTTGCACTTATCTGGAATATTAAGGGTGTGAATACATGTTCCTGCTCAAGCCTGAGTGAATTTAACGTTTTCAGCTAACCTTATTTTATAAGGACAAAACAGCAGTGCTCTTCTGGGTATCCATGTTCTCTGCCACATACAGAACGCTTGCAGAAAACATCTGGAATTAAATTTTCCCAGAAATAGCTGTATCAAAGCTAAAAAAGAAAGGACGTCCAAGCTCTGCTCGTTAGAGACGAGCTCCAGACATTTAAACAAAGCTTTTGATGGCAAGAACAAGTCCTCTTAGAAGTGTTCCTGAGTGCAGTTCTGCATCCATGGTACTTACTGTGCCTCTGAATACAATACAGAGAACATCGCCCCACACTTTTCAACAGATGCAACACAGCTAGTCTGAAAGAAGCTGGAGAAAACGAGGGATTGATCAAGCCAATATCCATGCCAAGCACTGTACCGAGTGTATGCACCCTTTATCTGTCCATTAGAAGTTTGAGACCCCTTTCAATGTTCATCCGGTGACCAACACGGGTGACACCCAAGTCTACAAGGTCTTCCTTTTGGAGGCTGGGAAGGTGGGTGCCCTCAATTTCATTGTCCAAGAAGGCCTTCTTGTGTTCCTGCAAGTTGAGGCTTTCAAGCCAGTTGGCTACATCGTGCTTGGTCCAGAGTAGGATGGGTTTGTCAGCAAAGGGCTTGTCTGAAGCCTGAAACATCGTGAGAGGGGACGGCGATCGACTGCTGACTGAGCTGAGGCTGTAGCATTGCTCTGCATTCAAAATGGGTGGAGATGGCAGGCTAAATACATCTGTTAATGTGGGGGAGGCGGCAGAGCCTGGCAGAGAAGAGCAACGACCAGATTCAGGAGGAGGCGAGGCTGGACTGGAAGCCTGAAGGGGCAAGTGGCTCGGGGTTATTGAGGGAACCGTGTTGCTGCGTTTGGTACCTGAGGCTTGGGCCGTCCACTCTCTGAGAACGCACACACACAGAAAGAGAAGTCAGATGCAGAACAGGTTGTGCGGCTCATTGAGTTTCATTAAAGGGGTCATATGATGCGATTTCAATTGTTCCTTTCTACACCAAATACACAAAATAATGTTCTTTTTAGCAACATCATATGACCCCTTTAAGGAAAAGAACAAAGCTCTCTAGCATCATCCAACAACAACATTCACTATATCAATACATGTGGCTCAAAAGACACCACCCCAGACAGCAACATAGTGTTGGCCCAGATCCGGCCCACACTTGTGAAATCCATGCAGGCCGGATCTGGGCCAACACTGGTTGCTGTCTGGGACTGCACTGCGCCCATTCAAAGAGAATGAACAGATCACTCAGTTATGTCCAGTGTTGAGCCACCTTTATATCATTACAAATACAAGGACATTTGTTTGAGCAGGAATTCGAGTCTCAGAATGTGCTCCCAGATCTTCTGAGTGTACAACTTACTTTGCTTTCACTATTTTGTCTTGTTAGTCTGTCTCAAATTTCATGAGATAAACATTCGGAGAGTTTGCAACCAAAACATATTTTTTAGTTTCTGGGCAAACAGAGAGAGATTAGGAGATAAAATGACAAAAGGAATCTATGCTGGGATTTTCTCAGTATTGTAAATTCATCAATTCATATATTCCTACGGAGGTCATGACTCTAATGAAATTAAGGTATACCAAGATAAATTGTTGAGAATGTTTGTTAAAGCACGTTTGTCCAGTCCTGCTCCTGGTGAGACACCTTCCAGCAGAATTCAGCTCCAGCCATAATCAAACACTTGAACCAGGATCAAGGTGTTCAGGGTTCTTTAAAGGGGTCATATGATGCTATTTTAAAGATCATTATTTTGTGTATTTGGTGTAACAGAATATGTTGACCTTGTAACACTTCAAAGAGAAAGGAAAACTTGAAATCGCTTCATATGACCCCTTTAAAATTACAGGCAGGTGTGTCCTGGAGCAGGGTAGGAACTGAAATCTGCGGGAAGGTTGGCTACCCCTGCAATAAAAGATTACCTCATAGCTGGAACATTTGGCTGTGGTTTAATCTTTTTTCATTTGGTGTCCTTGATCTACCCCAAGAGTGTCTAATCCACACATCAATATACACAGCTTTCTAGTTCTAGTCCACGGGTGACCTTTAGACAGCTTGTATATAGCTAGAAGTGAGACACTGTCCTAATTTTTGCCACATTTTTCTGATCTCATTTGATTATTTTGTGTAGGAATGTTGCTTTTTCAATAAATGGCACATGGGACAGACTAGGCTGTTATTGTGCTGCTCACCTTGATCCAATGCTTCTGGATCCTGCAGGCTGTTTTGGAAATCTGTCCTTGTTCATCTGCTGAAGTTTGGAGCTAAGGTCATTGATCACACTGGCTTTAGGACCTGCATTGGGTAAGAGGGGGTTTGGGAGCTCATTGTGGTCCCAGAGTTTAGTGCCTCGCTGAGCAAGTTTTTTGCGAAGTTCAGATTGTGCTCCATAACCCAGGTATGGCGGAGGGGCTGGTGGTGGCTGTCCGAAGGACTCTATGCTCTCGTGTATCCTATCGTGCAAAGGGTCCCTGTAAAGTGCATTGCTTTTGTTGATTGTGGGCTTCGTTTTTGGCTTTGGTGGAACAGGTGGTCGGTCCACCAAAAGAGTCTGCCCATCTGCATAGTATATACATGTGTCATCAATTCCCTCTGATGAAAGAGTAGAAATACTGGACACTGTGGAAACTGTACCGTTGGCCTCAATGTGAGGGTCCCCATTATTCCGACTGTCAGCTTCCTCAATGCCTGAGTCCGTGACGGGCTCAAACATTTCTGGAGGTGGTGGAGGGTAGGTGTGAGGAGTCGTGCAGTTTACAAGCCCCGAAAGACACTTGGACTCCACACTGTCAGTTGTAGAAGCACGTGAATGATAAACAGGCATGGGTCCTATTATGTTATTCTTTTTCTGCTTGAGAATTTCTGCTACCTGGTCCTCAGGAACATCAATACTGTTGGCAAACTCCAGAGGTGGAGGCAAGGGTTCAAACTCCTCATCAATATCCACTGAGGTCATTGGGGGAGGAGGAATGGTACAGGGAAGCTTGACAGGCTCCTCCACAGAGGTGGCAGAGGTGACGACGTTCCTTGTATGAGGTGGCCGGGAGTTGGGGGCTGTAAGTTTGACGTTGTACTCAATGGGTGCACTGACCATTTCTGGGGACTCTTCTTGTTCTAATCTATCAGGCTGAGTGTTTACTTGTGGCTTGGCCTTATCTTGTGTGTGGACCATGAGGAGCCCCGATGACTGCTGTTGTGATGTGTTATTGGAGTTCTTCGACTGCTCAGATGGATTTCTTTCCTTTGCCTTTTCTGTTTCGTGATTGGACTCTCTTGTGTGTCTAAACAAACCTCCACAATCTTTTGGTTGTCCCACTGCAGCTGTGGCAACAAAGTTGGCATCAATATTGGACCGTAGCTTGGTGTCTATGAAGAGTGGCTGGTTGAGGTATGCATTGCGAGGTTCTCTTTTAGGTGGAGGAAGTGGGGGTTGCACGTGCTCCTTCAGAGCTCTATTACTTAAAGCTAGACCCAGAGCCAAGGGTGGACAAATATCACGAGTCTTTCCTAATGTCTGGTTTTGGAAATCTCCATCGAGACTGATGGGACCGTCTGTATTGGGGCAGCTCCCGGTGCGTGTTGTGAGGGGCTCAGTTGTTGGTTCTGGGATGGTAAAGCTAGCCATGTTGCCTCCACTTAAAATTTGCTGGAGCTCTAATAAAGAAGCCGGTGGAGCCATAAGCTTTTGTAAACTCTTATCGCTGGCAAACATGCCTTCATCTATGGACATAGACTGGCGTAAACGAGGGGTTGGGATAAATGGATCCTCATCTCCGAGATCCATCGACAGGAAGGCTGGGGAGTTCTTGCGTGCTTCAAGCCGCTTCTCACGGTCACGTACTGCCCCTGCAATAGCAGCTGCAAAAGGGTTGCTCACAATGTGACTGCCGTCTGGCCGTAGTTGGCCTGGCTGCTCGGAGGCACTAGTCTCAATTTCCATGCTACTTCCCCGGCTGCTTTTGCCACTACTGCTAGTTGAAGGCTCTTTGACAATAATGGTTGGTATTGGGATTGAACAGGTTTTCTCAGGGCTATCCTCAACATGTGGCTGCTTTACCAATATACCCTTCCTACGAGCTGGTTTTGGTGGGATATACAAAGGTTTGCCAACTATGTCTGAATATGGGTTCTCTGGCACATGGGCTCTGTTATGGGAACACATGTTTTGCTGGGCAGCCGAAGGAGTTTGACAGTCATATTGTTCAAAGTTCTGGCGATGGTACCCGACTAGATCTCTGTCTATAGTGTGGCATCTGCCTGTTGAGTTCTGTGTGTAAATGGGCTGGTTGGGCTCATATACTTGTGCCATAGGAGTACTGAGGTTGTGAGGTGGGGATGGAGGAGAAACGCCTGGAGGTGGGGGAATATCCTCAGATGTGTCAGGCATAGAGAGACTTCTGGTGAACTTGAGCAGTGGAGGTATGAGGAGCTTCTTTTCTTCTCCTGCAATTCCTTGGGAAAGAAACATGCAGCATGTTTAGACTATCACCTCAATAAGTTGCTTAGCTTTGTTATTTTTTTAGTCACATCCTCACATCTTCAGCTGAGCATCTAAAGTAGCAAGAAAATATTTACCAATGGACTTTTGTCTTCTCATACAACTTTTTGGCACACGAACATAACTTCCATGGGATCTTGCAGGAACACTAGGGGGAACTACAGCAACTCCTGGCCTTTCAGACGTGGATGGCTATAAAACAGATTTATTGATAAGAGCTCAATGTGCACATACATAAAGACAGTTTAAAATATAATTATCCATCATGACTGTAATCCAAAAGTGGTGTTCACATTTAATTTTAAAATACAAGACAAAAGCAACTTACATTAAAATCCATGGATGTGGCCAAAAAGCGACTCGAGGGGCGGGGCTTGATCGTGGCAACTTTGTCCAATGAGGCTTTTTCATGCACAAGCTTCTGTGGCTGTACGGTCTCTTCAACTTTATCTGCAAAAGGCAGTAATGTCTGAGGAACAGGAGTACAAATTGCATTCGATCTCTAACACAAGCATCCATTCTCTGCAAGTTTATCAATTAACCACAGGGATACAGCATAAAGGAAAAAAGCATGGAACATGCCTAGTGCTTGCATTGTAGTAAACAACAAACCATGATCATTTTCAGAGCCACGACTGAATCCAATGTAACATTATGACAAAGAAAAAAAAAACGTTAACTCAAACATTTCTTTTTTCACATTTCACTAAAATAAACCTCTATTAAACCATATTAAAATAAGGAATATGATTTCAGCTCACATCTTGATGATTTAAACTTTTTTAAAGCTTGTTTTGTCATATTTTAAATCATTTTAGGCCATCTTGCAGAGATTGGGTTGGGTGGGGGCTGCTGATCCAGCTCTATCACTGCTTGCATCAAGAACAATAAAAAAAGTAAATCTTGCACGAAAATTGTAGTGGCATGAGTTTTGACTTAACATCCTGAACCTTCTTTACTTTGTTTGGTAAGATATCGGTAATGGGCACATTGTGGAACTGGACAAAGTGGCTTGAACGGTCTACAGATGTATTCATAGTATCCACAGACCACTCAGATCTAATCATTAAAAAATCAATATTATTCCTGGAGTCACTGTCACCACCAAGAATGTGATGCCATCTTACAAAACAACAATTCATCCTAACATATGGAAGCAGAAATATCACTCCCTCGTCGTGCATCAGTTCTGGGCTCCCCTATCAAAATTAGGTTTGGGAATAAAGAATAGTTCTTTTACTCACAGTAAAATAATGCAAAAACTATAAATAGACAACTTCATCTCGAATCGTCCTTCCTGGTTGCACGCAGCAACAAACATACAGTGACCAGTGCAGGATGATCGGGTTCTTTTGAAAGGAATATTCTCGGTTCAAAGGTTAAGCTCGATCAATAGTGGCAAAATGTTGATACCCAAACTTTATGGCATTTTTACCTATTATATAAGGATCAGAAGAACTGAACTGTTGCTTCATTTATCCAAGATATTCAGAAAACCAAAGAGCTGGATTTCGGGAATGAAACTCTTGTGCTGAAAATCACACTAATAAAAGCAATAGTAATAGTGATGCTTAGAGAGATCTCACAAAAATAGCAGTGATTTATCAGATTTAACTCACCTAATTCTTCTAGTTCAGATGTCATGGACTTGGATCGCATTGAGAGTGCAGTTGTCGGGGCTCGCTTTGGTGGAGGAGGAGCTACGATAACAAAACATGTCTGTCATATACACACCACTGCCACTCACATCTGCACTGAAGGGAGTGTTGTGATTTTATCCTCTATTTGCTTTCTGTGTAATTTATTCTCTATATCATTTATATTACTCAGGAACATTACTCACTCAGGAACACAGTTTAGCTTGTTCTGGATGTGCAGCTACATCAAAATACGGTGTGCTGACGCACACGAAATAAGCAAATAACATTAAAGTAATTATATTATTTGCAGGACTAATAAGAATCTCAAAACAGGCCATCCATCATTTGTCCTGACTACACGTGCAATGAGTGTTTAGTACCTTTTTTACGGGTGTTGTCGTCTTGTTCGAGATTCCTGCTCACTGTCACCACTTTAACGACGAGTCGGTTTCCTCCATGTTTAATCATGTTAACGACCTGCCGGTGTCCCATCTTCACCACATTCTGATGGTTGACCTGTAACAGAAATCACACTGCTCAGGATCTTACTGGTCATTACTTGTTTCTGTTTGAAGATGGAGGATCTGAAGAGGTGAATGGAAGATGTTTACTACTGCAGCTGCAAGTCCAAAAGGAGGCCGAAAAACGTGCCTGTTTGCTTTCTTTAATGCATGCTCCTGGTCTTGTGAATTATTTACTGAATGGGTTATTCCAGTGCATCTGTGCATATGAGCGCTTAGACTGATCTGAGAATATTATGACATCGGAGTCGGTTCTTTTCAGTGAATTGGCCAAACCATTTTGCAAAGCGGTCTGTGATTCGGTTCGTTTGGTTTGGACTGCTCTCTCACTGCATCAGTCAGTGAAATCACATCAGGACACTCAAGAAGACCGAGAACCAACAGAGTTCTGGATGAAGAGGATATTTCCCTACAATCATTTGAAACAAAAGGCGACTGAGGTTTAACTCATGTATGTGTATTACATGTAGGCCGTGAGAACATATGGCTATTTGACCTGATTTCTAAATGCAGTGCTGGTCGACTTACATTTGTATTTCAGTTTCAACTCTATGGCCGTTAAATATGGCAGCAAGCATAAGCTGAGATACAAGAATATCTTGAGTCGAAATAATTAGTTTTAAACATGATGACATGATGATGAAAAGCATCCAAATTTACCTGAATACACCCTAAATTTTAAGACATTCTTCTTCTCGTTCGTGTTTACCGTGAATCTCTGCTAATTACTTTCAATCTTGAACAGAAATGAACACAGGAGCTTTTTGTGGAGGAGGTGTTTGCAACGTAAGACAGACGTTTGCTTTTGAGATGTGTTTGTGATATTGTGAATGCAGTGCTTCATTTAGCAAGAGATGTGAGGCGTTTTGCATTTTGTGTGTAGTTCTTGGATTTGTGTGTAAAGTTTTGAAAAAAAGAGGCAAAGTTTTGAAAATGTGTGTAAGCAGTTGAAAAAACTAATTTAGTATAACTACAGACATACAAACAAGCTTTAGAACTAATATATAAAGCGATTAAAATGACTAGCTTACGATTTCTTTTTAGCTCAGTGTGAAACTATATTAATGAAATGATCAAATTCAGTTGACTTACATTAATATTTTCTTTCTCAAACTTTCTTCTTGCCTTGTAAATGTGTTTACATAAAAGCTTAACATTAATCATAAAAATATAATTTCTCACATGTTCAGCATTTGGGAGTCTCTAAAATCCTTTCACCTTGAACTGCTTTCATTTGGAGATTCAACGGCAAACACTTCACAGAGTCACAGAAGTAGCTGCTCCAGTTTTGGTTTATGATCTTTAATGAAGGCAGAATCTGCTCAAATGAGTTTTAGTTGCTATGCATAAGTTACTATGGCAGTGAAAACCAATATAAAACAATCAGAAAAGCCATTTAAACGCTCTCTGTGAGTTTGGTCTTGGGTCTCATTCTCATTATTTATATTGACAGAGGGATTCCCTTTTGTATGCATTTAATATTTCAGATTGACCGTGAAAAAACTGAAAAACCCGGAACAGGGAGATACGCAAATAAAACCCGGAGTGGACTATCTGGTTACATCACACCAGGAAATCAGCATTATTTGTGATCTGTCGTTATTGAAATCATTCGTCAACAGGTTTCTGAGGACAGCAAATGAAACCAGAATAAATGGAACGGAAACCAGAATCTGCACATTTCTTTAGATTCGAATCCCTACAGAGAAGCATGAGAAAGCTAGCTGCTTCATATCACAGTGTAGAGTATGCAGGGCTCGTACCTCGATGAGAAAGTCCCCTGAGCGGAGCCCCATCAGCCAGGCGACTCCACCCTCATCCACAGACTCCAGGTACTGCAGCGCGGGGAACGCAGGAGTCGGGATGAACTCCTCGATGGGTGTGTCTGCTGTGGAGCCCCAAAAACAGCAGAGCCTTCATGTTACTACGATGCCAACTTCATATGAGGTCTGATTTATTTCTGTTGCATGCGCTCAACGACTCACAAAGTACAATCTGACCCTGAATTATCTCTCGGGACAAAAGCAAACTACATTAACAAGGACACAAAGGGAAAAGGAAGCTATAGAGGAGTGTGTTTTCGGAAATATAATAGCTTCTGTGTGTATTTTTTTATGTGCGAGTGTGTAGATTTCACCGAGTTGCTCCTTCCCTTCGGCAGAGACACACCAGCTCTACACAAACCAGCAGTGACACCTGACAGTTCCCATAAATCAGCCGCAGTGCTGGAAGATCCCACTGCTTCACAGCGTACAGTACGCATACAGTGGACACTATAAAACACCCTCCACTGGATCTTTTTTATTTTGACTTGAACACATTCTGTAAGGTTTCAGACTGGTGGGGTTTGGGTCAGAATGAGCTGACGTGCTTGCAGATGTACCATCACACTAAAGAGTTAGCAGATGTTAAGCAGACAGTCTACTAATACTCTAATGAGAGTAAGTTGGCATGTATGTGCAGCGTTACCTATTGCCAACAGAATGTTCATCGAGACCGGTGTTGTAAATGTAAACAAACCGCTGTGACGAAAGTCACCTATGATTAAATTTTTCTGTACCATTAATAAGA